GGGGGGGGGGGGGGGGGGTCCCTGGATAGTAAGCATTTCACTGCCAGGCTCTCCTTCACTGGCAAGATTTTCACTGGTAATGATTTGGGCTGCATCTCCCAAAACCACAAATGCGCATGCCCTTTGACCCAACAAACTCGCTTCTAGGAAAGCAAGGAACTGACTCCACCACGCCGGCGGGAAATGGCGTGGACTGGGTTGCCCAGGACAGCACCCTCGGCTTGGGCAAAGCACTAGAAACACCCACAAGGCCCGGGCGCTGAGGACGGGTTCAAAACTGATGGTGTCTTCACACAAGGGAAGGACTCAAGGAGAGGGGTTCCAAGGAGACCCCAGACCACCTTCAGGGCTCAGAGGTGGGGAGGGGTCATGGGAGGGGCTGTCTCTTGTCTCAACGCACCCATTCCACGTGGCAACAATCTCCCCCCATCACATCCTCACCTGGGTTCATCCAGACCTGAGACAAGATATTTTATTTAATTCGGCGATTTTGACAGCATGGCGCTTTGGGCCTTCCCAAGTATTTATTGACCCTTTTTTTTTTTTTTTTTTTTTGGCAGGGGGAGGGACAGGAAAACCAGCCCCCAAAGGCCCTCCCCCTCCCACGGACCCCATCCCTGAGACCCTTCCCCTTCTTGACCTCGTCTCTGACTCTATCCCTAACCTTCACCTCATCCCGAACTCTCAGCTCTGCCTTGGCCCCACTTTTAAGCTTCAGTGACTGAGCATCATTCTCTTTACATGACATGGTTTAGGATCAGGGCTCTTACGGCTTATTTTGAGACAGAGGCTCCATGCCTGTCAAAGAGAAGTCAGATGTCCTGCGGCGGGGAAGAAGGAAGGTATGGGATGAGGCGGGCCCCAAATCTGAACCTCCCATCCGCGGAGGAGGGGGCAGCCTCTGACCAGCCAGACCTCTGAGAGGGGCGGCTGCTGGAGCCACAGTGGCCGGGGGAGCCCTGGAGGAGGGGGAACCCCAGAGGGTGACAGCATGGTCCGGAGGAGGAATGTAGCGGCAACCACAGGTTCCAGGTTCAGAGACAACTCAGCACCCCCGAACAAGGGTGCCAGAAAATTCAGAGATTTCCCAGAGACTAGCCTCCATGTTCCCATTCAGAAATTCACCTACAAGCCAGGGTGAGAGACACCAGAGCCAGAGGCACCTGCCCACATCCACGCGCCACGGGTGGGCACCGGGTCCAAGCCAAAGAGGTCAGTGGGAGACAAAACCCTCCAAACTGGCCAAAGCCCAAAAGGGAAATTGTCTAGAAAGATAGAAGGGTCTCACCAAACCACGGTCCCAGCTGCTAGGGACCCTGGGGGGCGGCGGCAGAGGGGAACCAGAGCCAGGATGGGCACAGCTGGGGACCAGGCGGTCTCCCAAGCTCTGTGCCTGAGTATATGGCTCTCGGGGTCTCTCTGTCAACTCTCAACTCTCTCTCATCTTGCCCTGTCTGTGCTTGTGTTGGCCTCTCATCTCCCTTCATATCTCATCTTCTGTCTCTCGGTATCTGTTTCTCCCTTTGTCTCTCCCTACCTCCCAGTCCCTGAGTGTCTCTATTTCTCTCACCTCTGCCTCTGTCTCTCTTGGTGTCTCTCTCTCTTTCTCATCTTTTCCCCTGTTGTATGTTGCTCTATAACCATCATCACCAGCGGACGTGATGGTGTCCTATGTATTAATCTGTTAACATCTGTTTCTCTCCAGTAGAAGGTGGGCTTCACGAAGGCAGAGATATTTGTCTGTATTATTTCCTCCTGCATCTCCTATGCCAGGAATATTGCCTGATTCAATAAATACATGTGGGGGGGGGCATCTGGGTGGCTCAGTCAATTAAGCATCTGACTCTTGATTTCAGCTCAGGTCACAATCTCATAGTCCATGAGATCGAGCCTGGATCTGGCTCTCTGTGCGGCTGGTACACAGCCTGCTTGGAATTCTGTCCCTCCCTCTCTCTACCCTTCCCCTGCTCACGCACACACACAGACATGCACTCTCTCTCTCTCTCTCTCAAAATAAATAAACTTTTAAAAATTATAAAATGAAGCTAGGTTGAATGAAGAATGGGTGAATCATCATTCTCACCAACATTATTATTTCATGACAAGCATAAAACAACGATAATAGTTGTTATAGCTGCTGTTTATTGAGTACAAACTATAATACCAGGAATCGGGCTAAATAAATAGTTGCTTGTTTAAACCTTACAAACCCTCCTGTGAGGGGAGTACTGTTATGTCCATTTTTCAGATGAGGAAACTGAGGCCCCAGGAGGAGAAGCAGCTGGCCCAATATGAGCCCAGGCCTTGTCTGGCTCCAAAGTCCAGAGGGTTTGGGAAGGCATGGGGACGGGGGGGGGGGGG